TCTTGATGGAAAGGGTGCTGGATCTCACTAGAGAAATTAACACAGGTCAAGACCTGTGTGGGCGGCCATGTTAGTCTTCCTTGTCCTCTGGTTCCATAGCTGGGCCAACAAGATGGACGCCCTGACCAGCAAGTCGGCTGCTGACCCTGAGGGCTACCTGGCTCACCCTGTGAATGCCTACAAACTGGTGAAGCGGCTCAATACGGACTGGCCTGCACTGGAAGACCTTGTCCTGCAGGACTCAGCTGCAGGTAAGGGACAGTGAACAGATGCTTGAGTGAGGCACTATGTTTGTGTGTTTATGCCTTGGTGTTGTATCTAAGCCTGTCTTGGGTCTGGGTGTGGGTGGGAAAGTTCCTTGTGTAAAAAGACGTCTTAGGTTCTGTCCCTTCTCTGTGGGAAGCTGGCAATTGGCTACCCTTGTTGTTTATTTTTTGTTTGTTTTTTGAGACAGGTCTCACTCTGATGCCTGGGTTAGAGTGTAGTGGTATCATCATAGGTCACTGCAACTTCAAACTTCTAGGCTCAAGTGATTCTTCTGCCTCAGCCTCCCAAGTAACTAAGACTACAGGTGGCACTGTGCTAGGCTAATTTTCCTATTTTTTAGTAGAGATGGGTTCTTGCTTTTGTTCAAGCTGATCTCAGGCTCCTGAGCTCAAGTGATCCTCCTGCCTTGGCCTCCTCCCAAAGTGCCAGGATTACAAGTATGAGCAACTGCTCCCAGCTATCTAATTATACTGTAGAAATAATGTTTTTATGCAAAGTTAGAAAACAAAAAAATTCACATAAGAAAATTATTAATTCTTATTTCAATTGCCCAGTGATATATACTATAAGTACAGTTTTTCTGCATATGCATATACATTTTAAAAAAATGGAACCATACCTGTATACCTGGGGATGCAAACTCATTTGCTTCAAAGGGAGAAAATCAATTAATAAAAAATGAATCAAGTGGGCTGGATGGTGAGACCAAGACAAACTGGCCCCAAATGGCCTAGATGAGCATAGGCCTCATCTAAATTCATTCCTTTCATATCTTTTACAAGTACATCATGTCTGTTGGTAGATCTGTGACATAAGCATAAGCTCCTTTCCTCAATTTCCCAGCTTCTCCACAGTGTCCTTCTGCAACTTGATTTTAATGATTGGACAGTAATGTGTCAAACTTGTCAAGTCATTGGACATGGGATTATTTCTAAATTATCAGCATTTTTTTGCGTATTTGTGCATGCCTCTGATTTTTTTTTAAAGACAAATTCCTAGAAGTGAGATTTACGGATCAGAATATGAACTTTTTTTTTTTCGTTTTGGCCAGGGCCAGGTTTGAACCTTCCACCCCCGGTATATGGGGCTGGCACCCTACTCCTTGAGTCACAGGCACCACTCAGAATATGAACTTTTCTAAAGCTTTTAACTGTGTTTGGTGCTTTTACTGTGTTGGTACTTTCCTGTGCTCTACTGCTTTTCTCTCAACAAGATTTGCTGGTAGAGTGGGCCTAGAGTCTTGATCTCAGTCCCCTGGACTTACTGACCACCCTTCTTTTTTAAAGAGACAGGGTCTTGCTCTGTTACCTAGGCTAGAGTGCAAAGGCTATTCAGAGGTGCAGTCATAGTGCACCACAGCCTTGAACTCCTGAGCTCAAGCATTCCTCCTGCCTTGCCCTCCTGAGAGGCTGGGACTACAGGCATGCCCCTGGCTCCTCACTGCCTTTCCCCCCGCCAAGTTGCAAGTGCTGATTAACTTCAGACTAGCTGTCTCTCTGGCTGAGACATTTTAGTCCATGTGGCCAGACTGAATTGAGCTTGGGGGTAGAGTGGCCTCCGGGGAGGGATTGGTAAGCTCAGTCAGGCTGGAGCTGTGCCCAGTGAGTTCACTGCCTCCAGTAACCATGGCTCCCTTTCCCAGATCCCTGCTTCCCAGCCTCGGCCTGTAGCTTAGACTGGGCTGTGCTGCAGTAGTCTAAGCCTGCCCATGTGCCTGCTCTTCAATATTGTTCTCCCTTACACACCCTAACCCCAAATCAAATCTGAAGCCTTTGGAAAACCTTATAATTACCTGGAAAGAGATAGGACAGGCCCCGAGAGCAATAGGTTGTTTTCATCTCTGATTTTCAGTTCTTGCCCCTAAAATGAATGGGGCATGCTGACAGTGTGGCTTTTTCTGGAGGCATGTTTTCTTTTTCCTAGATTCTAAACTCATTAGAGTCCCTGATCATGCAGCTGTGAGGAAGACAGAGTTGTGACTTCTTGGTTCCCTGGGTCCCCAGGAATGGCTAACAGTGGATGTTTGGGCCTGAATTGCTGAGAAGTGGTGGTAATGGGTACTGCTGCTCTTGGGAAGAGGCTGGGGAAGGAATGACCTTGAAGTTCCCCTCTCAGCTCACAGGCAGAATCAAAGACCCTGAGTCAGCGTGGGGTGGTGTCCACCTGAAGTCCTGGGATTGTAGAAGGTGCATATCTTACTTTACTGCCAGGACTTGCAGTCCCAGAGAAATACTCCTGTGGTTGGGGGCTCCCCCAGACTCTAGACTGTGGTCTTGAGCACCACAATTGGGAAGCTCATGCCCTAAACTCATTGCAGGTCTGAATGGTGGGAGTGCCCTACTGAGCAGAACAAAGTCTCCTGTGGTCTCTCAGGGGACCATGCTAGGCTGGTATAGTCCTACCTTGGCACCTGGCCTGGCCAGATGGCCCCTTAGCTGGTAATCTGAGGATCAAGGACAGTTCCAAACACTTCCAGTACTGTCACCATCACCCTCCTGGACTGTAGTCAATAATGAGGCTGGCTGGGCTCCATGAACTGATTGCCTTTGTCCTTGGGCTTCTCACCCTGAGATGTGGGCTGGAAGTCTGGGTTTACTTGCAAACTCAATAATCCTGGATCAGAGTTTTCCATGGGATTCATTTTCCACTGGGTGGTTGATAAGTCCTCCCTGAGTTCATCATTGCCCCTCTGAGTTATCTCTCCATCCTCCTTTCCTTTTGTCTCTACCAGGTCTGACTGAGTGTTATGGAGCCAAGACTTCTAGACTCCCAAATGTTAACCAATGTAGGAGCTGTCTCTGTTCAGTTTCAAATGAGCAGCACAGGCAGTAGGTACAGTGAGGAATAGGAAGAGTGTCTCCATGGACTAGAGCCATCAGAGAGGACTTTCTGGTGGAAGGGAAAACCACCTTTGAGGGAAGGGTCAGGGATGTGCCACTAGCCAGAGGCCTTCCTAATGGCTGCCTTTTGGTCCCAGATAGAATTCTGCCCTGGATCAGGGCTCACTCCTGTTCTCATTCTTATTTGGAAGGTTTCATCGCCAACCTCTCAGTGCAGCGGCAGTTCTTTCCTACTGATGAGGACGAGATGGGGGCTGCCAAAGCCCTGATGAGACTTCAGGACACATACAGGCTGGACCCAGACACAATTTCCAGAGGGGAGCTTCCAGGTAACTCTCCACTTCATTCTTTGCCTCCAGCATGTATCTCTTCCATGAATAGGCAGGTTGGAGCCACCACCAACTTGTGATCTCCACCCTCAGGTGCACTGTCATCCCTGGTGTTGATCCTGTCATGGGTCCCCAGTTGGTGCCAGTCTCCCATTCCCATGACAGCCACCTCCCTCTGCTAGTTAGCGGTACTAGCCAAGGCCCTGTCCTCTTGCGAGTCAGGGAAAGCTGAGGCTGTTGCTTAGGACCCCCACCACCTCTGCCCCCAGAGTGCCACACAGCTCTGCATCCAGACCCACTTCCATCTCCTACCCTCCAGTGTCCTTTTGTCCAAGGCTACGTGATTCTCTGTACCATGTCCTTCATCCCCTTGGTTACAGTCTCTGTCCATCTCTCTGGGCTCTCCCTGTCTGCTCACACACAGGCTCTGTACTTGTTCATTGTACAGACATACCTCCCTTAGGACTCAAGGCTCTTGTGAGTCTCTACTGTGGATCCATGTCTTCTCCCCTTCTGGTTGGACTGCTGGATAGAGTAATCTATGCTCCCTCTACTTCTCAGCTTCCCACACACTCCCCAACTCACAGTGTCTGGTCTTTTTCCCCCCTGTTCACTGATTCCCCACCAAAATCTTCAGGCCTGTAGATGGTACGTCTCTCATGTCTTCTCTCTGTCACTCCAGCCTCACAATCACTTCTTTCTCAATTGGATTATTGAAATAATGGACTTGCCTTGAACCTCCAGCTCACTCCTTAAGACCATCTTCCTTGTGGTCTTCAGCACACATCTGTTCACATGAGTTCCTGCTCCCAGAACTTAACTTTCAGAGCTAAACCCAAACACTTCCTGTGTGTGGTCTTTAAAGTCCTGCACGACCCCATTTCCCTGGCCTCCTAATACCTTATACTCAGCTTCTCCATCACTCAGCTCCTTTGTTCATCCCACCCCCTCTGCAGGAACACCTTTACCCACGTCAGCTGCTGCGCGCTCCATGTCTCAGTGCCCTTCAGCACTCAGCCGTCACTCTCCCAGGAGCAGACATTCAGGTTGGCTTCTGGAGAGGATGCTGAGTGCCTTGGAGTCATTCTTAACTTTTTGGCATGTGGGAAGTGTATTGATAATAGCTTCTGGTCATTAGCATCTTGAGGATCATAGGAAACTTCTTTGTATGTCATCTCATTGAGTTCTTGGTGCAGTTCTCTAAAACTGAGGGTATTATCTCTATTTAGAGGTAGGGGCTAAGATTTGCAGAGGCTAGGTAACATGCCTATAGTCACACAGCTGGTGGTGCCATGGTGAGGCCCACACAGACCCAGCTTTGTGTGGCTCCAGAGCCCCCTTCCGTCAGCTGTGGTTTGCTGCCTCTGTCAGTGCAGGTTCTTGGGCCTACAGAGCTGCAGGAGGTCTGTGGAGGAGCAAAAGGGCCCCAGAAACCTCTTAATCCCTGGCCTGCCTACGAACTCCATCTTGTGTTTATTCTTCCCTACTTTCTATCTGACATTGTTGGTTCCTGAGCCACTAGGGTGAGCAGACCTTGGTCTCTGAAGCAGCCAACCTATGTCATTCCTGAAAGAGGCCCGTTTTGAATATGAGGCAGAAAGAGCCCACCCTGAGGCAGTTCTTTGATGTCAGCCATGCCCAGATTGCTGTTAGTGGTGTTGTGGGGAGACTCTTGTTTTCTAGATAGAGTCACAGCCCCTCCTTGCTCTCCACGGGATCTACTTTCTCACAATTCTCTGAGAAATATACAATGGTCCTACCCATCTGAGTCCACCTATAATCCTCCATCGCCCTATATCTGCCACTTGTTATTGGCTTGAAACTATCTTCATGGCTACTTTCCAGCACTCCACCTGTGACCCGTCATCCCAAGGCCTGCTGAATTGCTCCCACGCTCTCTGTTCTTCTGTTTTTTGTTTCTTTCTCAATGTTTCTCACTCTCTGTCCTTTTTGGGAAGGTGCTCGCTGTAGCTCTAGCCTTAGTCACCTTCTCCCTTATGTCCTCAGTCTCCTTGTGATTATCTTCATCCATGGCTTAGCTGTCACCTAAACTGTGTTTTTTTATATTCAGCTAATTTTTCTTTTTTCTTTTTTTTATTAAGTCACAAACACATAGATCATGTTTACATATATTCAGCTAATTTTTCTATCCTATGGTGTCCAACCTTCCCCCCTCCCCCGCCCCGTGGCACATTAGAAGAAGAAGAGTAGTGTTAACCACATATCAAAAACATAAACACTAATGAAAGCTGATTAAAAAAAATATCTGCTACACTGCTGGTGGGAATGCAAATTAATTCGTTCCTTTTGGAAAGACATCTGGAGAACACTGAGAGAACTAAAAATAGACCTGTCATTTGATCCTACAATTCCTTTATTAGGTATATATTTAGAAGACCAAAAATCGAATTACAACAAAGATATTTGTATCAGAATGTTTATTGAAGCCCAATTCATAATTGCTAGGTCATGGAAGAAGCCTAAATGCCCATCAACCCACGAATGGATCAATAAATTGTGGTATATGTACACCATGGAATACTATGCAGCCCTAAAGAAAGATGGAGACTTTACCTCCTTCATGTTTATATAGATGGAATTAGAAAATGTTCTTCTTAGCAAAGTATCTCAAGAATGGAAGAAAAAGTATCCAATGTACACAGCCCTATTTTGAAACTAATTCATAGCTTTTATAGGAATGTCATAACCTAATTATAGCCTTAGAATATGGGAAGGGGGTGGGAGAGGGGAGGTGAGGGGGTAGATGGGGGGAGGGAGGGTGATTGGTGGGGTCACCTCTATAGTTAATCTTACAAGGGTACAAGTAAATCTTTCTAAAAGCAGAGTATGAATGTCTTGACTCAATAACTAAGAAAATGACACGAAGGTTATGTTAAGCAGTTTGATGAGAGTATTTCAAAATGTATATTAAAACAGCACACTGTACCCCATGATTGCATTAATGTACATAGTTATGCTATAAGAAATTAAAAAAAAAGTCTGTGTACAATTTTTGTGATTTCTGACCACACATAAGCAAAACAGGCCTCAAATAATTGGGATACCCCTGCAGACTTGTGTGTAGCTGCCCACCAGACAGACATCGCCTTCATACTCTTCCTCAACACTACTTTTTTTTTTTTTTTTACAGTTTTTGGCCAGGGCTGGGCTTGAACTCTTCATCTCCGGTATATGGGGCCAGTGCCCTACTCCTTTGAGCCACAGGCAGTACCCCTCAACACTACTTCTTGGTGGGCTTCCTGGGTTTCCCCATAGTGAGGCCACTTCCCACATATGAGAAGGAGAGTCTGAGGCTGGGAGATTGGCTGTGAACCCCATCCCAGCGCAGGGTTGATCTGTCTGTGCTCACTGTGGCAATGGCCCTTTAGGGTGTGTTGTCTAAAGCCCTGTGGGGCTCTCCTTGGATAATGCCCTGTTCAGGTAGCCCAGGCTTTTCCTTGAAGTGGGAATTTCCCTCTCTAACCCAAAGATTCTTTTCCTCTCCTGCTGTAGGCACTAAGTACCAGGCAGTGCTGAATGCAGATGACTGCTTTGGGATGGGCCGCTCGGCCTACAACGAAGGGGACTATTATCACACGGTGCTATGGATGGAGCAGGTGCTCAAGCAGCTTGATGCTGGGGAGGAGGCCACCACGACCAAGTCCCAGGTGCTGGACTACCTCAGCTACGCTGTCTTCCAGTTGGGTGATCTGCACCGTGCCCTGGAGCTCACCCGCCGCCTTCTCTCCCTCGGTAAGGGGATTCTGGTGGGGCTAGGCAGCTAGCAGAGGAGCTGTACTCTGCTGGTCACTGCCTGACCTCTCTTCTGGGATTGAGTCAGTTTTCCCAGTCGTTTGGCTAGTGCCTTTCTGACTTCAGGTCTAGTCCAGCTGCCAGCTAGCTCCTTACTCACTTCATTCCTGGCCTTAGTCTTTGCCCAGTCACTAGTGGATACTCTCAGGCCTATGGCATCCATGGCCCTATGTGCTCCCTTTTTAAAGCAAGGACCCAGTGCTCTGGCACATCTGTACTGTGCAGGGAGGAGCCTTCAGTGCATCAGGAGCAGCTCGAGAGGCAAGTTATACTTAGGGGTTGCTGCAGTGACAATGACCGAGCTGAGGTCTAACTGTAGGAGTTGTCATGGTATTGGTGCTTTTCATGTCTGTGATGTTGGACTGCAGAAGGCCAAAAGCACTGTGCCTATAAAGCTCATCTGTTACACTTCTTTGTTACTGATACCTGGGAACATCATCTGGAATTTCACAGACCAGAGAAGACTTTCTTATGCTGCTGCTTTTCATGGGTCCCTAAGTGTGATGCCAGCTAGCTTATAAATGTCTAATGTGAAAAGAGAGCTTTGTAGATTCTGTCCATTGAGTTAGCAAGAGCTTTGGACAGGGAGTCAGAACACTGGTTTCTTGTTTTATGTAACATTAACCTAAGTCTCTTAACATCTCTGGGCCTCAGCTTCCTTATCAGAGGAATGACACAGAAATCCTTGCCATATGCATTTCTTTGGGTATTGTGAGATCCACAAGACAGAGCTGTGGTAGTGTCATGCGGCTGTTCTTTTTGCTGGTGTTTCAGCTTGCCTTTGAGCTGTGACCAGCTGTAATGGATGCACTCTGGGGAAGGGCTGTAAAGGACACCTGGCCAAGTTATGAGGAGGAAGCAGTCTGGACTGATTCCCTGGGCCCTTGAGACCACTAGGGAGGCCTGAGAAGGAAGCCCTTCGATGGCTGGCTAAGTGTCCCCCTCTGGTGATGCTCCTTTCTCATCTGTGGCCAAGGTGAGGAGAGCCTCTTTTGGCTTTTTGGCTGTGACCAGCACACTCTGGTGAGGAGCTGTGAAAGGCAGAGTGCAGCATGCAAGTGAGCTGCTGGGAGAGAGACTGCTTATGGAATAATTTCCTTAAATGCCCTAACAGATGTTTGTGGTTTCCTTTTCCTTCTTGTTCTTTGCTTTTTCTAGATCCGAGCCATGAACGAGCTGGAGGAAATCTGCGGTACTTTGAGCACTTGTTGGAGGAAGAAAGAGAAAAAATGTTATCAAATAAGACAGAAGCTGAGCTGGCAACCCAGGAAGGCATCTATGAGAGGCCGGTGGACTACCTGCCTGAGAGGGAGGTGTATGAGAGCCTCTGCCGTGGGGAGGGTGTCAAATTGGTGAGACATGAGACAGGGTCAGGACACT